ACCTAGTTGAAAAGGGAAATGAGATATGCGTGAATCAGTACTGTTTGATTAAATTTTTTATTGGGGATCTGCTACAGGAGCAAGTGTGGTGCGACGTGGTTCATATGAACGCGTGCCATATTCTGTTGGGGATCCATGGTAGTTTGATAGCAAAATCCATGGTAGTTCGATAGCAAAATCCAACATGATAGCTTAATGAATACTTATTCATTTAAAAAGAATAGAAAATGCATTGTGTTATTATATGTCAAGGATGCGAAAGGCATAGACAACATAGAGGAGGCGGTAGCCTCAAGAGCCACCTTCATGCAGTCGGTTTGGGATTCTTGAATAGTAATGGCGTTGGTCCTCTAGAGGGAACTGGGAGGAGATTGAGATACAAACATTTATACAACCACTGTTATGTGGCTTTCAGGACGTGAATGAAGACCGACAATCTTTTAGAGGGAATATCACCACTAATAGGCATTTAGCACGCATAGATCTCATACCTGGATCAGTGCTCTGATTGAGACCTGCAGAGTACAGGTTCCAACGACAGGTACTGGATCTCGTCCCAAGAGGTATTGTTAGGTTAATAGCCCGTATGTTGTCCCTGCCTTGATGGTACCCAAGAAAGACGGTTCGTAGAGAATGTGTATTGACAATAGGGTCTTCTACAAGATTGCTATTGAGTATTGATTTCTCATACCTTGTCTGGGCGATCATTTGGATCAGTTGCATGGAGCTATTGTCTTTTCAAAGATCGATTTACACATCTTGGGTAGAGTTCTTGGCACGTTCTAGTTTTTACTCAAGCACAAGGCGAGAAGCCAGAACTGAGTAGTAGATGCACTGAGCCGCTGTCACTTGCTGATCATCTTGATGCAGACTCAAGTTGTTGGTTTTGAAGTAGTGAATGAGTTATACGAGACAGATAATTACTTTAGAGGGATCTGGGAGCAGTGTCAGGAAAAGCCACGGTGGATCAACTGCTCTACCAGAGTAAGTTGTGTATTCCTAGATGTTCGCTATGGAGAGTATTGTTTAGGAAAGCCACAGTGGAGGTCTTGCCGGACACTGGGATAGGGATAAGATTCACACTCATGAGTGCATTTTTATTGGCCTTGACTGATGAGATATGTGGGGCGACACGTCAGACAAAGTCGGATTTATTATGTGGACAAAACTAGGTGACAAAATGTGGGACTATACACTTCATTATCAATGTCGGAGGCCCCATGGGTGGATTTCAGCATGAATTTTTTAGTGGGTTTCCCAGGAATGCAACAAAATAAGGATTCCATGGTGGTTGTGGTAGATAGCTACTTGAGGATGGCTCACTTTGTACATTGCCACCAGACGTTGGATACATCGCATGTCACTGATTTGTACCTTAGGGAGGTAGTGAGACTCCACGGGATATCCAGGACCATCACTTCTGACTTCTAAGTCACTTTTGGAAGACTCTATGGGGGAAGCTCGACACTAAGCTTCAATTTAGCTCAGCAGCTCACCCACACACGGATGGCCAGACACAGGTAGAAAACAGGAGTCAGGGGAACCTTTCGAAATGCTTTGTGGGAATATTAAACAGTGATTTGATTCTAGCATGAGCCGAGTTTGCTGAGAACATATCTATGACCACGGGACACACTCCATTTGAGATTGTGTACGAGCCCAACCACTAACTCCACTTGACTTAACACCTCTTCTGTCGACATCAGAAATTAGTGAGGATGTCGAGGAACAGGTGCAAGAGATTTAGAAATTACATGAAAATATGGGAAATGAGATCGCTAAGCATAATAACAAGTTCCACACACTGGAAAATATGATCAAGAAAAAAGGTGACTTTTCAAGGAGTCCTAATGTGGATTCGTTTGAACAAAGAAATGTTCCCTGTGGGAGCATTTAGCAAACTCATGCTCAGAGCAGATAGACTTCTTAGAATTCTCAAGAAGCTGAACGACAACGCCTATAAAATCGACCTATTAGGGGAATGCAATGTCTCTGTTACCTTCAACGTGGAGGATTTGGCTCTGTTCTTTAAGGATTCAGAAGATTCGACTAATGAGGTTGAAGCTCTCTCAACCCCAAGGGATTGACGCTAAGCTCCCTTAAAGGGATGGGTTGAACATGCTGTAAGAAGCCACACCTGGTTCAACCAAGAGTTGGGTCAAATGACCCATAGAACAGAGTTAGGGTTGCTGCCCAAAGAGTGGGCTCCCCTCGTAGTTTTCTACTACTATATATATTTCATGTTCTCTGTATAGGGTTTCAGTTCTTTCTGATTTCAATTTTCTTACCATGTTGCTCCCTTCCTAAGGTTGTATCCGAGGACAAGTGGTGTTTTGGTTGTATCTTGCTTCGAGATGGTGACTATCTAGCGCTCTCCTTGCCCTTCGCCTCCCTTCCGTTGTTCTGCCAGACCACCAGTCCTATCTTGCTCGCTACTGCTGTTGCCAATCCCATCAACATCTCCTATTGTTGTCGTTGATTCTGTCAGCACCCCTGCTGTTGCCGCTAGTCCTCCATCTTCACCTGCCTTCTACTGCCATCTCCTCGAACACCTCCTGTTATTGCCACCAGCCCCTCCAGCCTACCCTATTATTGTCACAACCCCCTCCAACACCCTTTGTTGCCACCGCAAGCCCTCCAACATTCCCCACTGCAACCGCACCCTCCAGCTAACCATCTCACCTAATGGACATCTGGTGTTCACTACTCTAGCTCTCACCTTAAGGGTCGTTTGTGCTTTGTACTATTATGTTCCTGTTTTAAGAACCTTTGTTGTGATTCCTTTGAACTTTCAGCAATAACGTTTTGTTGTTTTTCGGGTTAACTTTGGTCTCAGGTATTTCCATTGACCTGCAAAACAATTTATGACAAGCCGTTTGTTATTTGCATTCTGCCAATGGTTCAACGACTTTCATACTTGCATCCATGACATCTATGAACTGCAACTTAGTGGTTAGCTTTTGAGGATTTAGCAATAACTTGTTGATTGATTAAGCCGCTGTGAATATATGGAGTTATGTAAGTTAAGAACAGAGTTAATATCGCAATCTTTGTTATTTTTTATGATAAACATAAGGTAACTTCTAGTAAATGCACCAGTTAGGAATGTTTTTGTTTTTAAATTGAGCTAATTATACGCTTTTCATTTTCTGCTCCTTTATCAAGAAAAAGATAAATTCTCTTCTCCCCGTACTTTTCGTATATTCTTGCCATCATTTCTTTATATTTTGTTTTTCTAAGCATTTAAACATTCATTAATTCCATAAAGCGTTGACTTCCCTCTTTGTATGAGGTCTTGTTTCACTTTACTCATTGGCTTGTTGATGTTAGTACCTAGGAAACTTATCTGAAATGTGTAAATATCGTGAGATATAACTGATGAGCTATGATATCTTTTAAAAAATTAGGTCATATTTTACTCATATTTTAATTAGTAATGGTTGTTAAAGGCTTGATGTTTATAATTTACTTTTCCTTTTCTTCTAGTCATGGTTTATCTTTTTATTTTCTTAGTCATTTTTTATTAAATTTAAACCTCTAAATGCATGAGCTTAAAGCAATTATAAGAACTATACAATAATTTGCACAATGATTTTAAAATGTACAAAGCAATGCAGAATTAAAGCTGTATGAGGCTAAAAGATGAAAGTGTTTCACTAATTGTACTTAATCGAGGATGAATAGTTGATCAACTTTTTCTTTAGTGGATAAAACCTTAAGTTCAACATTTTTTAAAATTTTTAATTTGAGAAAAAAGCTTGGGATCATTCTCGTTGTTAGGATAGATGTTAAGGGATGTTCATAGAATAATTTATGAATTGGTAAACAACATGAAAGAGTACGCTTGAATGGTTAGAAGAGGATGGAAATCATCTTCCAACAGCTACAAAAAGTAGCTATTGTTTCGCAGTTTGGAACTTTACAGTGACTGCAAAACAGTTTATGAAAAGTCATTAGTTAGTTGCGCCATTACCCGTGTTTCAATGATGGCTTTCTAACTTTCAACCATGAAATCTATTATCGGTCACTTAATGGTTACCCAATAAGAGTAAACTTTCCTCAATTCGTGATATACCTTTCTATTGTTTTTTCGTCAATTTTTTAAAAGTTAAACCTCAGAATGCATGAACTAAAAGCTCAGATGAGTGTTGGATTCTAAATTCTAAGCTGTAGATAAATGTGTGGTATAAGATTGAGGTAGTTTTATTTAATTTTTTAGGTCGACAATTAATACTGTCTTTGTCCAGGCTTGAATATATGAAACTCTTATTGCTTTATCTCCCTATCTCCACAATTCATTGGCCTTCACCTAAATTATGCAATATCATTAACTCCTTTAATGTCATTGCAAAATTTATATGATGCTAATAAATTTATACAAGTGTTTGAAACGAATATTGATTATGTTAAAGCAATATTATGTTTGACTTATATGATATTAATAGTATTTTTTTTGTTGGATTATTGGATGTTCAATAAATTTTTCATGCCTTTTCAATTTTTAGTGCTATTTCTAAAGCTGTGCAAGCGACACAATATACCATGACTCTGTAATTTTTGTGCTATGGTGCACTATTTCCTATGATCAAATGTGTGCTTATATTTTCTCAGTATTTCCCCAAGCATCCTCCTTAGTAATGTTCCTTTGGATATTCCATGAATCCTGACTTTTTTTTTATTATGATATTGAACCTCATGAGAGATCTTGTCTCTAAAGAATAAGTGTAGAAATGCAATATTAAAAGATTGATGGAAATCTATATTTAACATGCTGATGGATATATATTTATAATCTTTCGCTGTTAATCTAAATTTTTTGTTATTTGGAAGCTTATCCCTAAAACTATATGGTCTAGCATGTGTTGGCAGAAGTTCTGCCTAGAAGGTTTTTGGTAAACAAACAGTCATATTCCCCATCCACTTTGTAATCTCTATGAACCTTTCCATGCTAACATCAATCAGCTTCATTAAATCCCAACATCTGTATTTTTGTTATTCAGGTCATTGGAGCAGTAGGTTTCATGAATCAGAGGTTGGAGCTGCCAAGGGGGTTGGACCCACGATGGGTTTCAATCATTGAGAGCTGCTGGCACATGTAATCATCTGTTTCCCAGATAATGCTGCTGACTTTATAAACAAAAGAAAAAGAAAAAATAAAACCTTCAATACATTACATTTATTATTTAAATAGAGTTTTTTATTATATCAGAAATGGTTGTCCTCTCAATGATAACTATTTGTAATTCTTTTGTAAAACAGAATACAACTTTTTACAAATTAGATAGAAACTCATTACTGTTCCAGAAATCTCTTATGCATTTACATATCATATCCTATAGTTTGTTATTAACATTTGTAACTCCTTAGTATAGAAACGAATGCATGAAAAGGTGTATTTCACTTTTAAAACTTTGTGATGTTATTTTTGAAGTGATGTCAAAGATTTGAGTGTTATATATATGTAAATATGAAACTCTAGGTGTTAGATATGTAAATATATAAGAATTGCCTGATATGTATGTAAATGCACCTTTGTTTTATTGTGTTTTTATTTTTATTTTTTTATATTTTGATTTGAAAAACAACATATTTGGCATGTTACAAATAATTAACTTTATTTTTAAAAATTCTTAAAAACAGCTTTGATCATTTTTAAAAATGGGTGATTTGTTATTAAAAAACATAAAAATATGTGGACAATACATTAAATAAACATTTTTTAAAATAAAAAAAAAATAAAATTTACATACCTAGTACACAATTCTTATGCATTTATATATCTCACATCTAAGCTTTCATCTTTACATGCATAGCACTTTGGTGCCTTAAAGCTATCCTTAAAAAAGGTGTGTTTCATTTTTAAAAAATGTTAGTTATGTTTTTGTTATGTGATGTTATATATTTGAGTGCTATGTATAAATATGAAAGATTATGTTTAAGATATGTAAATACATAAGAATTGTGTGCTAGCTATGTATGTAAATGCCCAAAAAAAAGTAAAAAAAATACAAAACTGATCCCAAACAGGCTATCCAAATGCTTTCTATTTATCATACTTATCCATCCATTCTCTAATATCTTATGAACAGCGATCCCCATTGCCGACCTTCATTCCAAGAACTGCTGGAGAGATTAAAGGACTTGCTGAGACAATATGCCATCCAAACACAGATCCAGCGTTCTTCCACTGCCAACCCTGCACAGACCACAGTTTTGAGAGAGAATGCTGGAGATTGATGACTTCAAGATTTTAGAAAGGAGCTTTTAAAAGCACAGTAGCAGAATGATTAATCAGTACTATTTTGATTTTTGGATGCCAATTTCTTCTATTTTGGCGTCCTGGTTTGATCCCTTCGTTCCCCTTTGATTCGAATCAGCTGAAATCAGCTGAATGCCATGAAAGCTGCTCTTCAGCTTTGAATTATGCTGGAAAGAGATGAGGCCGTTTCTTTGTATTGTATTGTGAGGAACTGCTGAGTTTCTGTGGATAAAATTGTAAGTGAATGTATTTGAAAATCTTTCATTGAGATTTGAAGGCTGTAGGAAAAGTAAATTTGTTGGTGGAGCTGTATAGTTTATGCTCTTCTGTAATAACAGTAGGGAAGAGAATCACCTTTTGAAGGGGGAAAAATGCATTAAATTGTGATGTTATATGCTATACAGTCAGTTGTCATGTATTTGGTTTAAAATTAAAGAAATTTATGTATGCAATTTCTATACAGCCAGCATAAGTGGATTTTGGGTTTTGATTTTCTTTTTGTTGATGGGTAAGTCTGCAAGAAAAGATGATATATGTGTCCTTATTTCCTATAATAAATGCTTTTTAATATGCAAATATGTTATTTTATTGTTTACATGTGGAGCTTAATCTTGAGTTTTTGTATAGATTTATACTTTGTCAGATTAAAGTTGGGTTAGATTTGTCTGTTATCAAATTAAATTTGAGGGAAAATTTAAATGCAGACTGTACAATTCTTATTTATTTACATTTCTATCATCCAAAATATGATATTTATACTTAACATTTTGGTATCATAAGCCTATGCATGTAAATGCATATTTTATTTTTTAAGAAGATGGTTATGATATTTTTTTTGATATGATGTGAAAGATTAGAGTTACATGGAACTAAATGTAAGTATTCAGGTGTTTGATGAGTATGTATGAATGCCCCAAATTTTTACACCGAAACATAATGCCAATGGATGGAGAAGATTACTTTGGATGATATTTTTAAAGTAAAATTCAACATTCTAATGTTTTAGTAATATTTTTTTATGTGGCTTGGGTTTTTAGCTCTTAAGCCAAACTTGTTAATATTGTACATTTTAATATTATCAAATAATAAGTAGCAATAATTTACTTAGGGTCTTTTTTGGGGCACTTGTGGTTTATTTATAAGTTGTAGCGCCGCAGATATGGAAGAAAGCTACTGTGGATAAGTTGTATGTTTGTTTTTTACAGTTTTGAGCAGCTGTTTTGAATAAATGACATTTCTGTCTTTATATTATAGTGTTCTTTATAATTGAATTATATATACTAGCACATTCTATACTTAAAAATCGATATTCAATTTGAATATTATAAAACAAAAAAAAACACCTTGTTAAGCAGTGAGTAACACGACAGTCAAAATAAAAAAAAATGATTATTAAAATAATAATTAACAATATAATAATATTATTTTTAAAATGCAGTTAATTTATATCACGAGATTAATTATCAAAGAGACTCTCCACACCTAATCATAGTCAATAGTGGAACTCTCCAACCCATCCTCCCACCTAAAAAAGTCACAACATTTTGCTCTCCACATAGGACACATATAAAACTGTCTCCCGTAGCTATTTGACTGTCGCGAAGTAAAAAGAGAACATTATAATCCGCAGTGGTAGTACAATGTTTTGGTGGTACCGAAAATCATCGAGCTCATCTTTCCTAAAGGCTTAAAAACACAACACATTGACCTTTAAATGCAACATTAGTGGAAATTAATAATAGAAGTAATCAGTTAAAGTTTTATGCAGCTGTGAAGTATCAGAGAACACAATATATCACTACAAGAAGACAACAAACCTTATAAAAAAAAAGTTTTTGGTTACCTTTAATCCACATAATACGAGCTCGTGTGTGTCACAATGCGTATCACCAAAAAAAGGCCATCAAGAAGAAGCTTAAAGACCATAGCACTGAAAAATGAGAAGAACCTTGTTGTTTTTATTGAGATTTCACATATGACAAGAACCAATAGCGACATATAGATCATCGAGAAGAACCCTTAAGGGTGAACGTCTTATCATAGATTTCCAGAAAAAAAAAACAGCAAGCAATAAAAATTTATATTACATAATTTATCCATGGTTGTCTCATCGACCATCCAAGTAAGAAAGAATACTAACCCGACCAACAGTTACACGGTTATTTAGTTTCCAAAAAGATGGCCAAAAGCTTGACCCAATATATTTTAGCGGCTAGTGTACACAATAGATTTGTTATAAAAATTAGAATTTGATTAATAGTTTACACATCAGCGGTACTACACAACTTACGTATCATTTCAAGTGATATAAGTTTTTTCTTTTAAAACCTCAGTATCGATCCCACAGAGAAGGTGAAGCTCTTTTTGTCGACTTAGTCAAACTTTACTTTAACTTCAGACAATTATCTAGGAAGTATTGTAGCAAGTTTGTGTAAAAAGAATTTACTAAATCCTTAATTATGCTGAGTAGGCTTGTAAAACTAGTTTTATGTAGAAAAGTTCAAATTATATAAAAGTTCTTTCCCCTTTCAAAGAAATTATAATCGGTGTAGGAATCAAATTTCTAAAGGTTTAAATGTAGTTTTGTGTCAAATAGGAGTAAGCCTATTCCTTACCCTCTTTAGAGTGCATAAAGAACATTGACTAACCTAGTGTTAACTTCCTAAATCTTTAGTTATGTTGGGTAGGTTCTAGCCTGTCACTTTCAGATTGCCCTCTATGACCATTATTATGGAATAACCTAGCCTTAAGTTCCAAACTTTACATCAAATTGGTTAAGGTTCTAGCCTCTCACCCTAGAATTACCAATTTATGCCCATCAAAACTTAACCTATCTATTTGCACTAACCAATGAGCTACCTTTTCACCCACTAGATTAATGTGATTTTTACTAGTTGAGGAACACATTGCCCTCCCGGGTAATTATGGATTCATAACAAATTTTAACATTCCGATTGGCCAGATTAAAGATGTAAATTAATCACGAAGTAATTAATCATCACAAGTAGTAAGTAAGAGAAATCTTAAGTAATTCTAATCCTACACATGATTATTTCTCAATTCAAAGAAAAAGATAAATGATACTACTTAAAATTTATAGGGATAACATAACAAAATATGATTTATATTAAAATCCAAGTTTATACAGTAAAACAAAACACAAACAAAAATACAAAGTACTTAAATGAACTTCTCCCCAAGAAAATCCTTTGAAGTTCCCTTGATGACTTCTTACTCCAATAGACACACCAAAATACACATTAGAAAGACTCACCAACACACTCTCTCACACACACTCACACCACACACACACACGCATGCCTCTACTCTCTTTCAAGCCATCACCCTTTTTGACCAGCCAATGCTTCTTTTAAATAAATTTCATAAAATCACTAAGAGTCACTTCAAGCACCCCTTCAAAATTCGTCCAAACTCATTGGACAAAAATCAAAATTGTTTATGGCGCCTAGGTGCCAACCGTGACGCCTAGGCGCCAACATTCTAGAAGCCCATTTTAACTACCTGGCGCTTAGGCGCTTGGTCACTTTTTACTCCTTTGCTCCATTTGACCACGTTTTTCTCTATTTTTTGCTTCTTTTGCTGTTAAACTCCATCTCTTGTACCTTAAATCAAAAACACACAAAATAACTTCCATTTAAGCACAACATCCTTAAAAATGAGCATAAAATGTATATATATAAAAAATAACACATTTTGAGGCGTGTAAAATACATGCATAAGAAATATAAATTAAATTGGGATTCAAAATAAACACGACTTGTATAAAAATCTGATACAACAAACAATAAATATTTCCATAACACATTACAAATAAAGTAGCAACAAGAAAACAAACATTCCATTCATTCAACCTCCAACTATTACATCTGTAATTTGCTCCCTCAACTCAATCATCTCGCTTGCACCTTCCCCATCATGGGTGCAAGTCTCAGACAAATCAATTTCAACCCGTGATAAAGATTGCTCAAAGTGATATTCATATGCTTCAACAGAAAAATGTGAATGGTCTTCATCAGCTTTATTGAAGTAAATGTCTTTGCATGAAGGATGTCGCCGAATATAGTTGTGGAGAGTCATCATGAAAACCACAATCTGCACTTGTTTTGAAAATAGATATGTAGGCATATCGCGCAATATGAACCATTCCTTCTTCCAAACTCCAAATGTTCTTTCAATGACACATCGTAAAGAGTGTCTTTTATTGAACATCTCTTTCCCCCACAAGCGACGTTGCCAACCCTCTCAAAATTAAGAATGTGATATTTGGTATTAGGAAAGGGTTTGAGATATCCTCTTTGTAATGGATATCTAGTGTTAACCAAATAATATTTCCTAAGTGTAATAATTACATAAGGTATTAGTATTTCATTTGTTAATAATCGAGCTAACCTGGAGGTTACTTCAAGAAGTTATACTTATGAGTTCTGGCAACAAAATTAAAAATACGACTGTCATGTGCACTATTTTCCCATCCAACCATGACAAATATGAAGTACATATTGAAATCAAATACAATCATCAAATTTTGTGTTGGTGATCCTCATTGTCCAACGTATGCAATTTTTTCACTATTTCTTTAACAGAATCCTCAAATAGTTACCAAATATATGAGAGACATTGTGTTCAAGTAAGTTTAAGCAAAATATGAACACATGAAGCAACCTTAAAATATGGTGTATAACGATGGTCCAGTGTAATCTTCATGGGTGTGTTTTGGAATATGGGGGCTTCAGAGACGATAAATTTTGATCATAAACTAATCAGAGCATTTAGCCCAACTAAGAAGTATTTGCTGATACTTTCAGATGTTGGTGATCCTAATTGACCGATGAGTTCTGTGGCTGAGGAGGAGGAGTCTGATAAGAAGTTTCAATGTAGTTTTTTTTTTTTTTTTTGGGAACATTTGAATTTATGTTGTGGATGTAGATGTGAACTTTTGATAATTTAGATTGATATTTGTTACATTGTGTTATTTTTCACTATTGTTATTTGTCTCTTATTATTCTTTGTGATGTGATAATGAATTAGAAAGTCTTTATGCTATTATTTTTTGTTGTTTGCAGGTTGTACAAATCTATAAGTTTTTCTTATATATATATTTTTTTCTGTTACACAGGTTTGTACCGAATTAGCGTCTACTTTTGAAACACAAAGTCTAGAATTAGTTTTGGCAACGCTTCAAAACAGACATACACAAAGTCGACGCAAATACAATGATAATTTGTGAAACTATTTTGTGGCAAAATTGATAGATGACAAATCTAATGACAACATTTACTATAGAACTTTGTCGACATAAATTGTATTATCGACCCCCATTTTACCTACAGAGACCAATCCGATGCAAACACTTAATTATCGTCGATTAGCTGCTGTTTTAGGTAGGTTTTGTCCGACACAAAAAAAACTTAATTCCTGTAGTGATACATATAAGCATATATAGCTAATCATATTTA